CAGTAAAGAAGTTTTTCCTCATGTTCAGAGGGAACTGCCTGTGCTTCAGTTTGCGCTTTAGCTTGTCTCCCTATCACTACGCACCACTGAGAAGAGTCTGGCCCCATCCTCTTGACACCCTCCCTTCAGATACTTGTACACCTTGATCAGATACGCCCCTCTCAGTCGTCTCTCCTCCAGGCTGAACAGGCCCAGCTCCCTCAGCCTTTCCTCCTAGGAGAGATGCTCCAGGCCCCTCATCATCTTTGTAGCCCTCCGCTGGGCTCTCTCCAGGAGTGCCATGTCTCTCTTGTCCTGGGGAGCCCACAATTGGACGCAGTAGGCCAGGGGAGGCCTCCCCAGGGCTGAGGAGACGGGCAGGATCACCTCCCTCCACCTGCTGGCAACACTCTGCCTCATGCAGCCCAGGACACCATTGGCCTTCTCGGCCACAAGGCTCTATTGCTGGCTCACGCTCAACTTGTTGTCCACCAGCACTCCCGGGTCCTCCTCTGTGCAGCTGATTCCCAGCAGGTCAACCCCCAGCCTGTATGCTGCATGGGGTTATTCCTCCCCAGGGGCAGGACCCTGCGCTTGCCCTTGTTGAACTTCAGGAGGTTCCTCTCCGCCCAGCTCTCCAGCCTGCCCAGGTCCCTCGGAATGGCAGCACAGCCTTCTGGTGTGTCAGCCGCTCCCCGCAGTTTAGGACCCTCAGCAAACTTGCTGAGAGTGCCTTCTGCCCCTTCTGCCAAGGGAAGAATAACTTATTCATCAGTGACCCGGATGAAGTAAGAGGCCCTGGAAGGCTTAGGGACAGGGTGCACAGTGTGCCTGCCCCAGTAAGTAGATGCAGGCTGTTTCTCAGACACACATCTGTGTTGCTGCTACCAATTTTAATGCATAAAGAGGCACTTCAAAAGCGTGGCAAACACTGGCATAAAGCTGGAAAGCCCACCATACTACCATGTACACCCTTCTGAAATCACAAATGTATCTTTAGCGCACACAGACTGTGGTTAACATATGCAAAGATTGGCATGTACTTTTAGTTAAGGTTTTATTTCTGCATCATACTGGAAGTTCTTTGGGTTTATACAAAGATAGAAGTTCCACAGCTATGGAAACAATTTTCAACTTCTACCTCATCTGATCTTGTTTAATCTCCGTTACTTGAGCAGCCAATGCATACTCCTTTCTTCTTCCATTGAGCCCTGCATGCTGTAAAAGAATTAGCCTTTCTGCATCCATTGACCACTGCTTGCTGCACAACAGTTACTGCTACGCTTGAAGCCCTAAAGGAGAGGTCCCTCCACGTTCATGATCTTTGGCTGCAACATGAAATGGTCAAACCACACAAGAATATATGATCAACACCGAAGCATCACACTACTAGCCAGAGTCTTCTGTCATAAACAAATGAGAACAGAACTCAATTTTGGAACAATAACTCCATCCCCTTCCTTTAGATCTATTGCTTTTTTCCCCAGAGTATAACACTGAAATCATGGTTTTTTGAATAGTTTTTCTTAATTCATTTCCCAGCCAACAATCACTATGTTGTCTCCAATTTGACATTAATACTCCACTTTTTAAGAACACATACTTAACATACAGCACTGGCACTGGAGCAGATAAATTCCTAGGAGCTGCACTATTATCCTGGCATCATTAACCACAACCATAAACCTATACTTGAAGCACTACAATCAACTTGTATCGAAAAGAAAAACTCTGGTGAAAATAGGAGTGACAGTAGTCTGATAAGCACACTAAATTTCCTGAAATGAGATTTACAGGCCATAACTAGAAACAACCTTTTAATAAAAATTAGTTCAGTAAAGGATCTTTGTCCTTTACACTCGAGCAAATGCAGCATAGTCAGAGTGGTACTGCTTCTTCTGAAAATGTTTAAATAAATGCTTAAAAAGCTAGTAACATATTAAGCCTGGGGATTCTTCTGTCTTGTTTATTTGTTCAGCATTAGTTCTGGCCAACAAGCTGAAATGCTCCATTAAAAATTAAAATGACAGGAATTTACTAACAGTAACCTGAGAGTTCTATGTGCACCTATAAAATAATAAGAAAAGCATAGAATCAGATTGAAAAGTTAAAATGGGTTAAAAAAAAATCCAAAAAATTTAACCCATTTCCATTACCTTTTCACCCTGTCTGCGCTCTACAGAACAACAAAATATATTTTTGCTGAATGTCTCCCAGCACTGAAATGCTAATATAATAAGCACCTCCTGGGTAAACTGTAAGCTAGTACAAGTATTACATCACATACACATGTATACTTTTTATCTTTTTTTAAACCAAAATAGTGTCCAGACCAGTCTACACTTTCTGACTCAAATGGCTACACACATTCTTTGGCTACCAGAACAGGTCATGAGATGATGTACAAAGAAAACAAAAACACTGCTGACACAAGCTATGCAAAGGAGAATTACATTAAAAATCAGATCAGAAAGATCGATAAACTACCTCTGTCCCCTGGAAAGCATGACTTCCAAAAGCAGAAGTCTCTTCAAAGCACACACCATTTCAAATCCACAGGAGCTGGAAACTGAAAACAGAAATTTCCAGGCTAACCCTAACTGGCTAGATAAAGGAAGAGAGCAAGCATCTGCAAAAACTCCGTATAGACGTATTTTAACGTCTATAAAGGACATTAAAAACCAAAGTTAACTCCATAAGCACATAAGAGGACAAGAGGAAGTGGTAGTCTGCTACAGCAAGTGCTCATAGAGGTTAGCAATCCTATTGGGCATCAAATCTCTCTTCCGAGAGATTTTGAGGAGAAGCCCCCTCTTGCTTCCAGGAATCCAGTCTAGGAGCCACCACGCTCAGCGTCAGTATACTGGAACGGTAAGGCAATGGTATAGTTTACAAACTTAAAAGCCGTCATGTTGCTGCAAACATCTGAAACGTTTTTCAAAAGCATCTAGTGATTTCAAATAATCAGCTGAAACACTTGAAAGGGTTCTGATTTTCTGAACCAAAGGTAGTTTTTAAACCAGTTACATTTTCTCTGTCTGTACTACTGCTTTATACTGTCTGCCGTATGATAGCTACATCTGTTCAAAAGCTTTTTTTACTTGTTTCCAGTTGCTGCCTTTTCCCATGCCCACTTCCCACATCTTGAGATACGTACTGCTCCGCATCAAGATTGGTTCTTAAATTAGATGCCTAAGCAGACAACACGAATTTCCCCATAACATTAAGCACACGTAAGAGATCACGCTTACACAACTCTCTAAATCCCTGCTTAGCCCAGGCCCCAAATTTCACATACCAAACAACTTCTGCAACTATTAAAAGCAAAAAATTGTGTTTTCAAATTCGCTAGCAAATCAGAGATAAATATAGAACTAAGAAAACTAAAAGCTTATAAACTTGGTATAGGAAAAATGCTTAAAGCAACATATTTGGCCCTCAGAAAGATGGCTTCTAGAATTAGTTCTCTCAGGCATCAAGAAACCAACTTCACATGAGCGTGTTTGAGCAGTTCAGGGTGGTGGGGAGCAGAACCCTGTAGAGAAGGTTTTGGTGAAATCAGATACGCAAAGCACAGTCATCCCAAAGAAACCCTCCCTAGCTAAAGCAGAAGTTCAAGGCTAGATTCACCAGGGTGCTGTTTTTCCCTGGCTGCTTTGCGGCTGGCAAAGATTGTCACAGTTGCTCCTTGTTTTGTTGGACCATAGTTACAGTTTGTCTGTTAAAGATCTTGGTAATGGCAGGAAGCTTACTGGAAAAACGCTACCTGGTTTA